TTGCAGAGGACCCAGGTTCAGTTCCCAGCATCCACAGGGTGACTGGCTTACAGCAAGCAATCCTTAACTCCAGTTCCAAGGGATCCAGAGCCCTCTTCTGACTTATGAGGGCCCCAGGCACGTGTATGATGTACATACATACATGTAGACAAAATACATTAAAAAATAATAATTAAAAAAATTTTCATTTGGTAGCTCCCTAAATTTTGTGGGTGGCAAACTTTTCAATATAACAAAGCTGCAAGCAAGAAGTTAAAATTTCAGGATTCAAATTTCTGTGAATCTACTCAAATTATGTAAAGTCTGTTTAAATTAATATCATGTGGTTACTTACAGACCATATACAGGTTTATCAATGATGAGATGCATGGTTTAATGTAAATATTAGGCTTCAAAAATAAGACACATTTATTTAATGGCACTTTCTTCCCATTAAAACTACATACAAGGCTGAAAGGTGGTTTAGAAGCATGACATGTGCAAAATCTGGGCTCAATCCCCTGCACCGAAAAAAAACAAACCAACAGGAGAAAGCGTCCGATTTAAAGCTTACTCCTAGGAAAATCTCACAGAGAGATAGCTAAGAAGCACAAGGGGAACAATTAGACCTTCTGTCCTAACTCTAAAGGACTGGCAGGTTACTTTTAAAAGACGACTACTTTAAGTGTGAGTTTGTCCACGTGGATGTGTGTGTGCACGCATGTGCAGAAGCCTGCAGAGCCCAGGAGTGGGTGCCGGATCTCCTGCAGCTGGAGTTCCAGGGCTGGGCATGATGCTGGGGACCTGAGCTCGGGTCCTCTGGGAGAGCCGGAAGCACTCCTAACAGCTGAGTCATCTCTCCAGTTCTGAACTGTCAATGTTAACCTTTAGAAATCAAAGCAGATGCAATTCAGGAGGATGATGAAAGCATCTGCTGCCTCGTTCAGAAGTTCTTATTACCCAACACCAAAATATTATCTACATCTGCCAAATACTGTCTCAATTTCATTTTCAGTACTCTTTGAAGTACATATTATTAAATCTTACTTTGAAACTCAATTTTCACAAAAGGCAATGCAGTAATGCTTGCGCTCCTCACACTCCATCTACTAAAAGTAGAACTATGAAAATATGCCATACCATACAATTTGAAGCTAGGTGAAATCACTTTCAGGTGCACTTTATTTTTAAATTCAAATACTCTTGTGTAATAAAAGCATATTTTTGTAAAATTCCAGACTTCCTGGAGACATGCAAACATAATTACTAAATAAGGGGCATATAGTTTTTCAGCAACCATCAAACAGCTCTCCAAAATCATGAACAAATCCATACCTAACCACCAGCAATGCAAGGACTCTCTTTCTTACCACTTGGGGTAAGTGTACTCAACAGCTGTCACACTAATGGGGAACGGTCCCCTGGCTATTTCAATGAAACGTTTTCACATACTAGTATTTCATCTGCCTAATCCTTTCTCCTAATAAAATAAAACGTTAAACCAAAGATAATTTAATGCATGTGTGCAAGCACGCGTGCACACACACATACACACATGGGTGCGTGCACCTGCCTTTCCCAATGATCATTCACTAAAATAAAGACATTTCTGGGCTTTGCTGAAATTAAGAGTGTCACACTTAACAGATAGGATATAAATCTGATTTATTTTTAAAATGTCTGTTAAGCCAGCAAGCAAGTTAACCAACACAAAAGCTCTTTGCCACAACACATTTGTAACTGATAATGTTCATTCTAGTCCATATTGTTTTTGCTTTCTTTTCTTTTCCCTTTCTTCCTTTCTTTCTTTCTTTCTTTCTTTCTTTCTTTCTTTCTTTCTTTCTTTCTGTTTGTTTTGGTTTTTTGAGACAAGGTTGCTTTGTAGCCTGTCTTAAAACCAGCTCTTGTATACCAGGCTAGCCTTGAATCCACAGAGATCCGCCTGCTTCTGCGTCCTGAGTGCTGGGACTGAAGGCCTGCACTGCCACCACCTGGCCCATATTGTTTTCTGAAAGTGATACCCTACATTAAGATTTTACATTCAGTTTCACAGGGTGCAAAGCAGACTATTAGGGGGGAAATGATGAATTTGGCAATACCAATTTTAAAATTCAAGTCATGTCAAATATAAACATGAGGACTGAGCCTGGCTTAAGAACTAAGGTATCACCTGCACAAAGGTAAGCATCAGAGCTAAAGGAATGGAAGTCCTGTGGAGAAGGAATAAAGATCTCAGCGATGAAGGAAACCCCAAAGTGGTCAGGAAAGGAGACTGAACAACGAAGCCAGCCACGCTGTGTGGTTTTTAGTGATGGGGTGCACAGTGATGACGAAATGGAGACCTCCACAGAGCAAGCGGTTACCTTTCAGTATTAAAATCAGTCATCTAACAACCTGATCAGAGACCGAAGGTCTGTCACAATACAGGGGTTCAAAGAGTTTTACTGGTTTTTGGAAAAAAGACAAGACAACTTGATGCTTTTCCAACACCTGTAAGATAAGGTTAATAAAATATAAGGAAAGAAAAGCAATAGGAACGAAGGAGAGTGCTGTGGTTGAGAATTACATTTGCTGTGGCCTGGTTTCCCAGCAAAGTTTAAAGATGTAAACTGTTCAAATCACACAGTTTCATGTAAGACACGTTTCTTTCAAGACAAGCTTTCTCAGGGAACTAAAAATAAAAATTGCCACGTGAGTCTGAAATTCAAAGATGGACAACCACAACAGGGCTTCAGGGTAAAAGAAAGTCTAATTTCGTGAAGAAAGCTGTAGAGTGAGCACATGCCCAACACCGTTCTGAGCCCTTGTAGAAAGCAGCAACTCTTGATCTGCACAGGGCTGTTTCTGGGTAACACTATAAAATCTGGCAGTCCCCAGAGCGTTGGCAAAGCAGATGGACTGCTGACTGGGGAAGACCTATGCCTTGGAGGCTGGGCTGGGCATTCGGAAAGGTCAAATAGGAGCTGACCTACAGAGGGAAACACTTCTCACACAGAAAATGGTGCGCTTGAGAGAGGAAAACCTGACCAAACAGAAACTTCGTTCAAATTATAATACCTTTTTTCCTATCTTCCCTTTACAAGAACTCATGCCGTTTGTGGTCTGAACCTCGGTGGAAAGCTCTCAGGACTATCATCCCTTCTGAACTGGTTCTGAGCCTGTTTAGTGCCTATCTGAATTGCGGTGCAAACACAAGCACACACTAGTCTAGTCCCTTAACTAAAGCAAACAAGGTTATCTTCTTGGTACTTAACACTCTCCAGGAATCTGAGCAAATCTTCTTGGGGAATTCCCTCCCTAAACTGGCCTCTTCTGCTGGGCAAGAAGAGGGGGAACAGGATGGGACACTAGCCAGAAGAGCATTCCTAAGATACTGCCCTGAGATGATTTATTAATATTATTAATAGGGCAATGGAACCAGAAACTTCTGGGGAAGCAGAACACGAGAGAGAGTCTATTTTCCTAGCTGACTTTTTAAAAGGTGCGCTAGACCACTAGGTGGGGGGGGGGGGGGAGAGATGACAGAACCAGACAATACTTTTAATAGAAGGCACCTCCCATCCTGCAACCTGGACTATTGACTACTAAATGCGCTGGAAGTTCTGTCAAGTGTAAACGTGTGTTTTGTGCCACCAGCCTGGGTAAGTAAGATTTGGGCCAAGTGAGCCCTGTCTGTGATTAAACATATGTAATACACATTTTACTTTCTAAAACATTACAAGTATAACTTTAACCAAAGTCTAGGTTTAAAAAAAACAAAACACCGAAAGGGATTTAAGGCGTCTAATCCAGCACATTTTAATAATGTGCCCACGATCATCAAGTTGGATTGTGGCACAAAGCCATTATCACAGACTACCACAAATTCTGTCCATCATTAAGCGCTTTTGTTTGTTTGGCTGGCTTTGAAATAGCATTTTTCCACTCCGGGAAAAAGAACCAGGAATGTTTTCGGAAGGTCCCTACATCAATTGCAGGAAACATTAAGCAGGCCCAAGCTTGAGGTTAGCAAATTCCCACTTTCAGTTTGACTTACGCTGCTGGACAGATCTGGAAAAAAAAGTACAAAGCAAAAACAAGACACCCCATGTCAGGGTCAAGCCAGAAAAAATAGGATACAGGAAAAGCCTAAAAGTCAACGTTTACCTAGATGGGAAAGCTAAAATCTATTTATGTTAAACAAAACCGTTCAGGAAAGTGTCATATTTGAGAAATCTCAATTTTGTTCTGGCTAAAATTCCCACGCTATACACACAATGAGTCAACATCCTATCACAATTAATCCCCCGGTTTCTGCGTGTTTATGGCATACTTCATTTTCGCTCTTAAAAAAAAAAAAATATCTGTCAACCTCACAGTAGACATCGGACAAGCGATTGCTGGTCCCCGTAGGAACAGGTGGCCCGTGCTGCGTGCCTCATCCCCTAGGCCACATGTCCCTACTCCGCCTAATCTCATTTCTGAAGCATTATTTCCGGTGGCCCAGATGGCTCCACGCACGCCAAAACGATCCACCTCCGAAGGCTTAAGAGCTCTCGGCCACATCTGGCATCCAGTGGGATGGTGGCAGAGGCTTAGAGGCGGCGGGCAGGGGGGAAAAGGGCCTGGAAAAAGGTGAGCCGGGAGGGCGGAGAGCGCCCGACTCCTCAATGTCACCGGCGAGAGATGGATGGTGGTGTGGGCATCACCCTCGCAGAGCCCGGAGGCGGGCCAGGGTGGCGGCCGCGAGCCGGGGCGCTGAGCACGCGGCCGAGGGCAGGGGGCAGGGGGGCAGCGGCAGGCCAGCCCCGCCGGGCGCTCGCCGGTCGTCCCGGGGCGACCCGCGCGGACGCGGAGGGGAAGTGGGAGCGGGCGGAGGGGCGCGGGCGGGGCCTGATCACATGGCGCAGGCAGCCGTCGCCGGCCCGCCTGGCATCGCTTTCTTTCTCTTCCGCGAACCCCGGCTGCCCCGCCGCCCGGCCGCCGCCCACCGCCCCGGGCCCGACCGACCCCTCCTCGGCTCTCCCCCCCACGCCACTCACTTGTCGCCCGCGGCCACCATCTCCTTGCCCTCGCTGTTGCCGAACGCGTCCGTCTCCCCGGGGCTGTCCTTGGGGCCCGGTGCCGGCGGCGCGGCTGCGGGAGGCGACGCCCCGGGTTGCTGCTGCTGCTGCTGCTGCTGCTGGGGCGCCGCGCCTCCCTTGCCCAGCTCCTGCAGGATCTCCGAGGGCGAGCTGGACAGGCCGCCGGCGCCGGGGCCCTTGGCGCGGCCGCCCCCGCCCCACCACGGGTGGAGCCGCGCGGCGGCCACCAGGCCCGCGGCTGGCCGGTTCCCGCTCCGGGGACGCCGGCACAGGGTGCCGAGGGGCTGCGCGCGCCGCAGGGAGGCTCCGACGGTGGCGGGCGGCCGCCGGAGCAGCTCGCGCAGCATCGCCGAGCCTTGCAGCCGCATCATCGCCGCCGGCGCCCGCTGGGTCCGAAGAGGATGCTCCTGGCGTGGGCGGCCGCGCTCCTCCCGGAACGGCCTGGCGCGCGGAGGAGAGAGGACTGGGAAGAGAAAGGGTCCGCGGCGGGGTGTGGCCCCTGCTCCGCCGCCGCCGCCGCTGTCTCCGAGCCTCCCGGTCGCCGCCGCTCCTCCGGCCGCCGCGAGCTCCGCACTGAGGCGGACGCGCAGGGGAGGGCCGGAGACATTCCGCGCTCACCCGCCGGGGGCGGGAGGACGCCGCCGGCCCGCCCCCTGCGCGCTCCCCCATTGGCTCAGCCTGCCGACCCCGCTCTCGATTGGCCAGCGGAGCTGTCAAGTTGAGTGTGGGCGCCCGTGCGCAGTCCCGCGGGGTCCGGGAAGGCGGGGAGAAGGGCGACTGACGTGTGGGGCCCCGCAAGCAGCCCGGCCCCGCCGGCGAGGCTGCCCCCGCCCGCCCGCCCTTCTCCTCGGGCCGCCTGAGGCCACGCTAGGCGTGGACCGCGGCTCCGGGATCCGGCCGCTCACCGGGCAGGTGCGCTCGCGGGCGGGATGAGCGGCCTCCAGCTCCCGGGGCCGAGCCGGGGGTCCACGCCTACTGCTCGCCGCCCCCCCCCCCCGGTTAGTGATGGGGGGGGGGGAGAACGTGTCCGCCCTTCTGAGGGCATCGGTCCTGCCCAGGCAGCCCTGACGAGCTCCATCCCTCTCACAAGTGTGCTTAAAACTTTCCATGGTTGGCTACTGCCCAGAAGTGAAATGTTTTGGAAAAAATGAGCAAAATCTTGTCAGCTATGCAACTTAAGACATTTTAGAACGTTGGCGCGTAGGGGCAACGAGAAGAGAAAAAGCCAGAGAAGGGTGGCTCTCCTCTCCTAAATTTTTTTTTTTTTTCACGCACACCAGTTTTCCACATGTTTCGAACGGCGATAATTTCATTGGGGCTAGTTGGCTTGAAAGCAAAATTGCAGATACTTTTTTTTTTCTATTTTAAAAGCTGCCAGATTGGTTTGAAATACAAGCATCCGAATATCATTTCTCAAAACCGGTTCAGCCCTGCATCCCTTTGTCCGTTTATCCTTTTAGATCTGTTGTGGGTCATCCAATAGCTCCTGGGCCTGCGCACACATTTCTCTCCGGAAGAAAAATGTTTGAAAACTATTGACTAAGACAGATAGGTTTAAGTGCGTAGAATCACCAGGATATTTTTAGGAGGATGGGCAGGGGGTAAGGTCCATTATTAATTCGCCAGATCTAGTATCCGATGACTGTTTAATGTGGAACTAGATTAGTCGAATGTGACTAATCACACCTTGTGTTACGTACAGGTTTGCCCTGTTTAAGATATGTCCCCCCCCTTTTTTTTTTTAAATCTGCTCTTTAAATGGGAAAAATGTGGGGAAAGTAACCTTGTAGGAAAAAAAAACAGAATTGTAAATTACTTGTGTGGCTTTTATTATTGTCTAATGTGAATATGGGTGGCTTGAAAGAAACCGGTCCCAAAGGGAGTGGCACTATTATGAGGCGTGGCCCTACTGGAGGAAGTGTGTCACTGTGGGGGTGGACTTTGAGATCTCTTTTGCTCAAGTTTCCCTTGGTGTGACAGTGAGCTGACTTCCTGCTGCGTCTGAATCACTCAGCTCCGGCACCACGCCATGCTCCCCGTCAGGAGGATACTGAACGAAACCCGAAAACTGTAAGCGAGCCACCCCAATGTTTGCTTTATAACAGTTGTTGTGGTCAGGGTGTCTCTTCACAGCAATAGAAGCCCAGACTAAGACAGTGAACTTGTCAAAAAATATTAATAAGAGCGAATCAAAAAGTGATGTACTAAGGAGAAATAATCACATTTTTGGGGAAGAAGGTAGCACATAATAGCCTTAAAAACATCTAACATTTTCCCCTGTTCTATGGATGGCGCATAGACCTTAGTGTTTAGTTTCTTAGAAACGGCTAGTGTTCTGTTCTTACTGCCTCCTTTTTCCTACTAATCCAGACTACTCACCAATCCAGTCAAGGTTCCCCCCACTTACTCCCATCTCTCAGTGAAATGACTTCTGATGATTGAAGGTTTAAAGGCTTTCAAGGATCCGGAACAATTAGCCGGGGACATGACTAAGTGGGCAGAGAGGCTAGCTACACAAACATGAGGACCTGAGGGTCAGATCCCAGGCTGGAACCCCAGCCCTGGAGTTGGGGTGGGGTGGGGCAGATCCCTGGGACTCAGTGCTAGGCACTCTAGCTGAACTGGTGCGTTCCGGAACCTCCGACCTTCACACAGAGGCAAGGACAATGGACGTGTGTACGCGTGAATACATACAACATAGGAAAGGGGAAAAAAATAATAAAAGTTAAAAAAAAAAAAGGCACCCAGGGCTGGAGAGCACTGACTATTCTTCCAGAGGACCTGGGTTCGATTCCCAGCATCACATGGTCGCTCACAACTGTCTGTAACTCCAGTTCCAGGGAATCCGATGCCCTCATACAGACATGCATTCAGGGAAAACACCAATGTACATAAGAATAAATTATTGAGGGGGCTGGCGAGATGGCTCAGTGGTTAAGAGCATTGCCCGCACTTCCAAAGGTCCTGAGTTCTATTCCCAGCAACCACATGGTGGCTCACAACCATCTGTAATGAGGTCTGGTGCCCTCTTCTGGCCTTCAGGCATACACACAGACTGAATATTGTATACATAATAAATAAATAAAATTGTTTTTTAAAAAAGAGACGGCTCCTATTGGTAGATTCTTTTCTAGAGTTTCTACTTTTCAGAGCACACTGATGAGAAAGGGTAAGAGTGACTTCTAACACTCATCCTGCATCCGCTGAAGAAATAATGAAATAATAAAGCGAAATGTTGCAGCCAATCGAAACTATTACGAACAGAATAAAAAAAGGACAGAGGACTTGGATTCTTTTCTTCATTTTATATATTTTTTTATCTTCCGTGGTATTTTAACTATGCGACTTTGGAAACAGTGTTTCTATTATGTTAAAGGTAACTGTAGCACCTTCAACCCAAACTATTCTATCAAAACCCTTTACATGCCCAATAATAATCTGAGGAACTACGTTCAAGAAGAAACATTCTCCAGGTTGGTGTGTGCTTAGGCTGTCAGAGAGGGGCTTGGACCACTGCTTTGCCAAGTGGGATGCGGCGGCGCCACGGCCCTGGTGAGGTTATCAGCCATCCAAGGGAGAAACTGGAATGTGTGCACTTAACTTCTGCTCTAGCCTGAAGAATGCTGTGCTCGGCCCTGGATACCTGTGTCCTTCATGGTCAGGAAAGGCTCCTGCCTCAAGATGGCAACCTAACTTCTCCATAGCTTTCCGATCTTCATCTTCACAAATCGCGAGTTTAGTGTTTGTGGTTCAAGGGGAAAATAGAAAGTAATTCTCCTTAGACCAGCAGATCTCAACCAGTGGGTCACAACCCCTATGGTGGGGGGTCGGATGACCCTTTTACAAGGGTCACCTAAGGCCGTTGGAAAACACAGATATTTCTATTACTATTCATAACAGTAGCAACATGACAGTTATGAAGTAGCAACAACACTAATTTTATGATGGGGGGGTTACCACAACATGAGGAACTGTACTAACGGATCTCAGCATCAGGAGGCCTGAGAACCACCGCCTTAGACAAAAGCCGGGCCGACCAGCCTACCATTCTTTCTGTTGATTTGTTTGAAATCCCAGTGGAAAGATAGAAGGCTCGGGAACCTTCGAACCACCTTCTGCTGCTACTCCCGCTTTTCCAGGCCTGCTTAGGCCTTGCTGAAAAATCCCCCTGAACTGAATGAATCCCCATGGTCTTAGATCTACATTCTTACAAATCTCTCATTTATAAAATGAGGGTCCCGCTAGCATCTATAGGCCTGTTGCAGGGATTAGATGAGCAACAGATGTCAGTGCTCCAGGCAACACCAGTGATGCTCTGCTGGCCGTCATTGTCCTCTGGGGGCAAACTGTTGTGCCAAGCAATCAGTTCTGGTCCATTATTGAAAAGCCAGGAAGGAAATTATTTTTAAGCCATCTCGGAAAGGGAGAATACTATTTAAAGAATTAAAACTAACACCCCTGAATGAGATCATTTATTTACTTTTCAGAAAGCAATTTTCGAAATATCTTAAAATAGGAAGGGAATGCTGCAGAGATTGATTTTTTTTTTAAAGCTGCACTCGATTCCTGAGGTGCCGCTACTTACAAATGACCTAAGCATTGACAAAGAATCGCTGGGGGCAGGGGCGTGTGAATCTACATGTTATGTACAACTATCCCAGCATATAGCATTTTATGCTATATTTTAAAATCTGCCATTTTAAGCTTTTCCAATGACCTTTCTCAAATATGTTGTCCATATAAACCAAATCACCCCTTTCTTAATTGTAATAGCATACAAAAATAATGGAATTTCATTAACTAGGAGCAACACGTTTGGACAGCCTAGCTGAAAATACCCTCTTTCGGAGGCTCCCCTGGTGGCTAAACTGGGAACTGCGGATCAGACAGTTTCATTCAGAGCCCTAAGGTGAACCTTTCGGGTAGCTGAGTTCGTACGTTGTTATTGTTTGTACTTAGACCACACTGAAAACCAGGGAGCCTCCAACTGGTAATTAAATTTCAAAGAGACTTATTTTTCTGTGGATGCATAGAAAACTTACATCAAATGCCCTCGTCCCATAGATACGACAGTCTGACTACGTATGCATTTAGCGCCTGCCCGTGGCTTTTGTCAATAGTGTGAAAATCAGTCCGATGGTCCCTGCTCACGAAGAAAATGTGCTCTGTGGCAGACTGTAGGACTGTCCCCAATTACTTGTGTCACTCACAAACAGACACTTTATAACGTCGCTCGTTTGGATTTCAGACTTGGCCTTGATGGAACAGGCGAGGACACGACATGCCAGGACCCCACGGTGTCGTCATCTGGTTCTGCCATCTCTCTTCCCTTGTCAAGTCTGATTGTGTGTCCAGGGGAAGGATTTCTTCTTTACGTGGCTATCCCAAAGGGCTGACGAATGCCGTGACGAGAAAGGAACCGTACTGTATCTGAGCTCTGTAAATAGCCTGCCTCTGCCTCCTGGGATTAAAGGCGTGCGCTACCACCGCCCGGCTGCCATTT